AATGTCACATTAATTTTGGGCTTTTAATGATTTATTTGTACCGTTATTTTTTACAGGGTGGAAAGATTATACAACATATATCTTCAGTGATTTTTAAAAACAAAAATATAGTTTGAATATATTTGAATATGTTTTAGATTTTCTAAAATCCACACAGGGTCAAAATTATATATACAGGCTCAAATACATACATACATCCACCTAAATCATTCCTAACCTTATACATCTTAACTCTTTTACAACCAGACAATATAGTAATCTGTGAAATAGATTAAACATTTCCGATTGACATTGCATTGAAAATGTCAGCCTGCATACGCTGCTATATCCAGTAATCCCCAGAGTGAAGAACTGCTTATTGGTCTGTGTCTGCAAATGTGGAAATAAAATAAAAGAGGAAGTAGCTGCTGGTTTGTTTTCTGTATGACAGCTTAAAAAGATTAAAATATCAGTTTTTCCCAATTTCCACCCATTCAGCAGTCATCGATGAAGAATGTAGAGCCCTCTTTGTCTAATTGTTTTAAGAACATGAATATTTCACAGAAATTTAAGCACTAATTAGTAAAGTTTAATTCTACTTTACACTTGAAGAGAGACAGGAGGATATGTACATTCACAATGTTGAAAACAGAAAATGAATTTTATATAAATGACCCAAGAACTCAACAAAGACTGAACAGAGTCCTTAATAACCATTTAATGAATGTTGAAGAGCACAAAATAACTCTTAGCTGCAAAATGAAATACTGAAATTAACTTTTTTCCACCATAAACAGAACTTGCAGTCATCTGCCCCAGCAACGCTGGCATGATTTCTTACACACTAATACTCACACAGCTTGGTGTATAAACTCCTAGCCAGACAAGCTCACTCCCTGACACACGAACACACTGTTGGTGAGGATCAGTCGGTTAGGACTCAGTAGCAAACAGCTTCAAACCCTGAGCTGAGACCTTAACCCCAATAGCTCTAAGGACTGCATGCCTGCTGTCTGTTGTATTGGATGTCTCTTTGGATAACAAACATCTGCTAAACAGTTATAAATGCATCATACTTAGTGCAGATAATTAACACTGACATTAATGTACAAATCACCTCCTCATGCATGTTGGCAGGTAACACATCACAGAGCTTTTACACTCTGATGCATCGCAATGTGCACACAGACTCTTTGCTAAGTAGCATATGTCATACGTATGAGCTGAAAAGTGCATGAATATTCACAGTACAGACAGACCCACTGCAAAGGAAGTGGCATCACAAGCATGAGCTAAAAAGTTCCAGGCAGCTTTCATTCTGCAGAAAAGTCCATGTTATTTTTTCACCTGACTGTAAATACTCGTGTCATCACAGTGAGCTGGTGGGGGTGGTCCTGGGGGCAGGTCCTTAGGGTGTCCCACAGTGCAGTACACAGTGTTATCCTGGGGGGTATTTCGGGGAGATGCTTTGTTTGCGGCCCATGGCACCATGTACATAGTGTTTGCTCCATCCGGGCCCAGCTCCCCCTGTAGGTTAACATGCGTTATTACACTGCTAATGCAGATGTGTTTGCATCACCATACAGCACTTAACAGGTCAACATGCATCACAGGGCACAAAGGTGTCATTTGGAGTGCATAATTTAAAATTTATAAAATAATCTGAATTATGATACTTTTATCTCTGTACATTTGTACATATTGTGTTTCATTAATTAATAACTGAATATTTAAATGAAAAACTTAAGTTACCTCTGAATTTTTTCCTCTGTGTCTTACAAAATAGATTAAACCAATGCAGAGGCAGAGACAGAGAATGCCGAGTATCAGCACAATGTACCATGATGATGGAGACTCAGGAGTGCTGTCAGTATTCATACCTGTAACAGACATTGTGTTTACAGTCAGTTATACTGCCGACCATCACTGAACTCAGATAAACACAATATTCAAACTGAAACTAACCAATCCTGTATCCCTATCAGCTCAATACCTGAATGGATTTGACACCTTCTTAATCAAAACAGAGCTTGTTAATGAAATTTAAAATTGAAATCAGGACTTATAATTACATACAGTATTTGCAAATATTGCCACATATATTTTATAATAAATAAATACAGTAAGCATATAAATTGTACATGAGGTTACAAATGAAATCACTTTTCTGTGT